AAGGTGAATAAATAATAATTTTTGGGAATTATTCCAAACCAAAAGAAGTTTATCAAAGCAACATTAGTAGAGACAACTATAAAGTATTCTAATATCCATGTGGAAACACTAAAACCCCAAGGGTTATTAAGCATCTGAAGATGGGAATTAATGAGGAAGATCCAAGGAAAGGGATGATAGACCCAATTCCCTTGATCAAGCGCCCTTCTTCGGCATGATGGCACCCTCCATCAAGGGTCAGTCAATGTAACCACAGCAACAGTAGTAAAGTTACTTGGTAACTATGTATTAATCTTCCCATCCTCTCCCCTCAAACACTGGCCAAAATACTCTGCATAAGAAGGGGCTTTCTAGTTATACATGTCAATCACCCTAACTATATAATATACTGTATTCCACTTTACAGAAATAAGGTTTGTTTTAATAGACTAGAGGCATATTTTAATTTTAATGAGAAAGCGTTAAATCTATATGGATCATGTAGCGTCTTAGTATGGGGGAATTAATCAGGTTCAATCAGTGGAGCATGATCTGATAGTTCCTTGGATCAAGAGCCCCTCACTTCACTACGTTAAACCCACTGGGGTCTTACAAAGCTTGGAATAACAGGTAATGAGATTTAATGAATGGTGAGGGTAGCTCAAATGTCCTGGATCAACAGACCTTCACGGGCAGCAAAATATTTTCGATAAAATAAAATAAAAAACTTAGGGATAGTTGCAAGGAGCAACTGGCACCAACCTGAGTGTAACCAACAACAGTGTTGTTGCAGGAGACCCGGTCCAGGAGCTAATCTTCTTAAGAGCTGTCGCAGTTAACACTGTTAAGCTCTACCTCCCGATGCCCAGACAAGAAATATTTCTGAAATATAGGCGGAAATATATGATTGGAAATAAGGTTCTCCCACAGGAATAATGGCAGAGCCAGACACAGCTCAATCTTCCCTCAAGTCGTACACAATCCTCTACGCTGAGAAAAAAAAAATAGTTGATCTTTGTCACTGACGAAGACTAAGGACGTGTCGTAAACAAATTATATATGCAGTTATGGCAGCAATGCCCAGGGTAGAACTACGCACAACAACTGGCCAACAAGAGTGTTGCAAGACACTAGAGCTGGATCAACCGGGACTGTTGCACTCTACCTCGTGACTCACAGTCATGTCTTGACCTTCACACAGTCGCCAACTATTACAAAAAAATAAACAAGCTTTTAGGCTAAATTTACGGATTTTTTTTGTTTGCAGATTTGTTAGAAATTTCTATATTTATGGTAAAAATGTTTATAAGCATATTCAGTTGATGAACTATGAATATTTATCCTAAAATAATTTAAAAGCTAAATAAAATAGTTATTTCAACCAATCTCAAGATGGCTGCTTTAGCAAGCAGGAGTTACGTGTATCTCACGGGTATCATTCCAGTCTCAATTCCCTTAAAGGGTAAAAGCCTTTTGATCCAAGAAATTGGAGCAACCACTCTCCTTCCTCGGATCAAATATGATTACCTACTAATCTCAAGTGCTGTATGACCCCCTACAGATTTAGCGCTTCCCCATTGTTATTATTATTTTGGGCTGTGTAGGAGCCGTTTTGCCATTTTTCTTGAAGGAATTGGAAAAATTTAAATACTGGTTTACATGTAATAGTTTGCAAATGTCTGCTGTATGACTCAATTGGGCTTAGCCTATAATATAAAGACAATAATAATAATAATAATATTATTATTATTATTATTATTATTATTATTATTATTATTATTATTATTATTATTATTATTATCATGGGGAGTGTTAGACCCGTTGGGATTATACAGCGCCTGTGGGGAGGGGGGGGGGGATGGAAGGTATCAGGCTCAATTCGGTGAATTGGAGCATAGATCCAATTCCCTAGATCAAGAACCCCTCACCAGCATCTAAGGGGTAATAATAATAATAATAATAATCGTTACTGCTTCTAACAATTGGCTGGAACCCTTCAACACTGTTAGATAAATAATGTCTTTCGATTGGCTTTGTAGATTCAAACCATAATGCAAGGTTTAAATTAATTTTGGGCTGAACAAAGACAATTTGCTGATGATATTGAAGAGACTGGCGTACTAGTTTCCATCCAATGACTAGTGAATGTCTCTTCCGATCAGTTATTACAATCACAGGGAAGCGCTAAACCCGTAGGATTATACAGCGCATGTGGGGGGATTGAAGGTAATCAGACTCAATTCAGGGAACCGGAGCACAGATCCAATTCCCTAGATCAAGAGCCCCTCACCAGCGTCAATGATCCTCCCTTGAGGGGTCTTCCGATTAAGATTATCAGTATTTCGTGTTGAGAATTTTTTCCAAGAGAAAGACATCCCGCTTACCAACATTCTTGCTCTTAGTTTTGACTATAATAATAATTACCAACATTCTTGCTTGTGCAGCAGATGGGGGATCAACGCTGACAGGTTGTCATCATGGATTCATCAGTCTTGAAAAAAAAAAAATGTACTTGGTGTGTTTACGATGCACTGTGTAATCCACAGGCAACATCTGTTTAAAAAAAACCTAAGTGGTCGACTTCACAAATTATTAAGCACTGTTATCACAGCAGTAAATAAAATCAATGCACATGCTCTCAATTCCCGACTGTTTCGACAGTTCTCCACTGACAATGATGATTTTGAACGTTTGTGGCACACACAAGTTAAATGGCTGTCAAGTTTATTGTGCACGTACCTGAATGTTTTTTTTTTTTTTTTTTTTTTTTTTTTTTTGCTTACGATACCAGACTGTGTGATCAATCCATTCCTGGATATCAGTGATGAAGAAATAGAAATAGAGGAGGAAGAATTGGTTTCACTCCAAAATAACAATGAGCTTAGGCCAAAGTTCAAAAAATATCAAGATTTTTTTGGTTACAAAATATTTCTGACCGCCACCCTGTATTGTGTAACAAAGTCAAGATGTACTTTATTGCCTCCCCAGCATCATTTTTAGTAGGGCGAGGTTTCAGTGCAGTCACCAAGCTTCTTTATAAGTAAAGTAAGACTGAAAATCACTGATCGTGGGGATCTAAGACTTCTTCTTAGTGCCTTTATTAAGTCTGATATTGAGAAGTTAATGTCCCTGCATTATGCGCATCCATCTTATTAAAATTGTGAAGACAATGTAGTTACAGATGAGATGTAAATTTACCCTTTCATATTAAATAAATTGGTTTGCTATGTTAATTTTTATTTGTGAAATAAACACGTTTGTTAATAGTGCAGTAAACCTAATACCAAGAAAGAGGTGTGTTCGTATGTGTGTGTGTGGGGGAGGGGCTCTTGGGATGTGACCTTGGAGACAAGGGGGGCGGCAGCCTGAAGTTGGGGAACCACTGTTCTAGAGTATCGTCAAAATCATGATGTATTTTATTTGATTTCATAGCCTTATTATGTGTACCTTATCCGTTATACAGGTGATTTGGAAAGGCTATAGGGGAACCTCGATCAAGGGAGGTACTTCAATACTGGTGATTATTATTATTATAATCAAAAAGAAGCGCTAAGCCACAAGGACTATACAGCTCAATACTGGTGAAAGGCTCTTGATTCGAGAAATTGGATCTACATCTTTCGCGGATCAAACTTGATTATTCCCCATTCACAAGGCGTTGAATAACACCATTTCAACGTAAAAATGAATAATTCACAGAAAGGCAATACAAGGGAAAATTCTGAGGGATACACTGACTGCAACTTGAAATTCAACATTCACATTACCTGGAGTTTACCTGGAGAGAGTTTCGGGGGTCAACGCCCCCGCGGCCCGGTCTGTGACCAGGCCTCCTGGTGGATCAGCGCCTGATCAACCAGGCTGTTGCTGCTGGCTGCACGCAAACCAACGTACGAGCCACAGCCCGGCTGATCAGGAACTGACTTTAGGTGCTTGTCCAGTGCCAGCTTGAAGACTGCCAGGGGTCTGTTGGTAATCCCCCTTATGTGTGCTGGGAGGCAGTTGAACAGTCTCGGGCCCCTGACACTTATTGAATGGTCTCTTAACGTGCTAGTGACACCCCTGCTTTTCATTGGGGGGATGGTGCATCGTCTGCCAAGTCTTTTGCTTTCGTAGTGAGTGATTTTCGTGTGCAAGTTCGGTACTAGTCCCTCTAGGATTTTCCAGGTGTATATAATCATGTATCTCTCCCTCCTGCGTTCCAGGGAATACAGGTTTAGAAACCTCAAGCGCTCCCACATAATTGAGGTGTTTTATCTCCGTTATGCGCGCCGTGAAAGTTCTCTGTACATTTTCTAGGTCGGCAATTTCACCTGCCTTGAAAGGTGCTGTTAGAGTGCAGCAATATTCCAGCCTAGATAGAACAAGTGACCTGAAGAGTGTCATCATGGGCTTGGCCTCCCTAGTTTTGAAGGTTCTCATTATCCATCCTGTCATTTTTCTAGCAGATGCGATTGATACAATGTTATGGTCCTTGAAGGTGAGATCCTCCGACATAATCACTCCCAGGTCTTTGACGTTGGTGTTTCGCTCTATTTCGTGGCCAGAATTTGTTTTGTACTCTGATGAAGATTTAATTTCCTCATGTTTACCATATCTGAGTAATTGAATACATATTTAAAATAACTTCTGAACTTAGTTATTGGAAATTTCATATATCATCCGATAAGTTTCCTGATGATAATGATAGCTTATTTATGTAATTTTTGTATTATTATCTGGACAATATATCTATCATTTTTTTGTATTAATATTATTATGTAGCTAAATGAGGCAAAAAAATGGGTGGTTAGAAGAAAAAATATGGTTATATGAAGACACGCAAGGCATTATTTTGAGAAAAATCGCATAATCTGCGATTATCTCAAAAATTATTTGCAATTTGCTTCAATAATTTTGGAACAATCATAATATGGCATTATTGGTTTTCAGTTCCACACCTCTATTTTCATCAAAACCACTATAAATATTTTATATTATTCTTTTCATTTAATTTAAAAATAAATAAATAAAAAACAAGGTGATGTATTTTGATTCTTTAATGTGTACTGAAAATTCATTTAACCAATTTCTAATTGTGTCAAATTTTCCTGTACTCACCATGAAACTCCTACAAAACCACATTCCCACATATATGTACACTTTCAGTAAATAAAAAGAACAAGACAAATAAAAAAAATGTTTGCTCTGAGCAGACCCCCTTCCATCTTAAAGGCTGTAAGTAACCTTTTCTGCACCAGACAAGAATCTTTTAATCCCTAAAATAGGGATTAAATTAAACTCTCAGCATACATACGCTGAAAGAAATACACATTTCAGTGTATATAACCTGTGATGACTGATTATACAGGTTACAGTAGTTGTGGGTTAGGTGAAGGAGTTTCACAATGGTTACAACAGTAATTATGAACTATTTACAATAATACTAAATTCAGTCTGAAAATAATAATAATAATAATAATAATAATAATAATAATAATAATAATAATAATTGGCCTCTATATTTCTTACATAATAGAAGTTATGCAAAGCATTTCAAGCAATTTAAACTAGCAGTAATACTAAAAATAAAAAATATGCTTCACATGATCAGACTAATATTGAGTAATTATTAAAAATATTGGAATATAGTAACACACTAGCATTATTAAAAAAAATAGATTTTTGATACAACAAAAACAGAAGTGTTGTCCTTCCTCTTTCTAAACCCATACCATCTAGAAAATACCCGCCCGGGACAGTACCGGCGAACCTATTACGTAATTACTACTCCAAACCCATCTCGTGAGTAGTAGTCAATATATAAGAGCAGTGGTTCCCAAACTGGGGGTAAATTACCCCCTGGGGGTAATTTAACCATTTTTGGGGGATAATGGAGGGGTGACAGAAAAAAAGTTATGAATTCTGAAAATCAAGAAAACAATGCGGTACCCGGTATGAGGATTATTGTTAACTTTGTCTTAGTATATAAAGTTGTAAAGTAAACCTATTATAAGTAAGTAATAAAGTTAAACCAAATAACAATAAACATCAAAAACTAATATACAGTATTAGAAAAGAAGAAATATATAGCTAAGTGTGTGGAAACCCAAAAGTATTTTGACAAGTATGCTTCAGGACAAAAGTCACTCAGTAGCCCAGATCGACCTGTCCAGTACTCGTCACTCACTTCCTGAGGCTGCCTCTCAACAACGTATCTGTGCGAGAAGGGCTTCTCAACTGTGCTGGGTATGAAAACAAAAAAGAGGACTCGCTTGAATGTTGCAAACGATGCCAGGCTGACACTTTCAACCACGAAGTCAAGAATTCCTAAACTAGCTTCAAGTATGCAACTCCATCCATCCCACTGATGTTCTTGACATCTTTGGTAATAGTCATTAGAGATGCACAATGTTCAAATACAATAAATAAAAGAAAATATCTCAAGTGTTTTAATTTAGCCATATATATCAATAATAACAACATTTTGTGAAAGGGGTAACATGCTTTATGTGGCATGTTAAATTGGGTAACAAGCTGAAAAAGTTTGGGAACCACTGTATAAGAGGGTGTTGTGTATAGTATCTCTACCCTTAATTTTTAAAGGGGTGGACCGGTAGGCCAGTGGAAGGCCTCGGTCAGATATCCTCAACCTCTAGTGACGGATCATATATACATATATGACCTAGACCCTCGTCAGGACACACTTGTCATGTTTCCTGACGGAATTTTACCTAACCTATCCTTAGTTCTTCCTATAACCTTTAAAAATGTTCTACATCAACATAAAACTTAAATAATAAACAACAGAACAGAGTCATTGAATCATTTTTGTCTTAACTCGGGGACATCAGTTGTAATAAAAATAAAGGTACACTTTAAAAATGTCGAAATTTAATTTTATAAAGCTTCCCGATAATACTCTTACAGCAATTTACTTACTTATCCACCTTGCCATAACATTTTGCCTTGAAATGTATAATTTCACATTTTTTTTTTTTTACAATTAAGAGTTACTTATTTCCTTGATGACTGTGCCTCCTTTCCCTATTACGTACTGTGAAAAACGGTATTGATTTATTTTCGGACGGTTGTACTCATCCAATGGTATGTTTTCTTCCCAAGAGAACGCTTTCAAATTTATTTTTTGATTAGCTCTGATAACAGAGTATCGCCAAATTTTGTTTTTTGTGGCGGTAACTTCACCACCTCTTTTCCTCTTTTTCGGAGATGACGTTGATGGTACAGGATATACTGCTTCCAAAGTTTCACATCTTGATTGATTACTATTCTCCAGTGACTCCTGCATCGTATGGAGTAGTGTAGTGAATTGATTTAAGACTTGAGTGTTGTAGTGATGATCCACAGATGGGCTGATGATCCAGTGTAAGCTATTATAAAACTCATCATCCACCCAGCTGTTGAACAGGTCCCTCACAAACTGATTTTCACTCTCGTCTTCATCAGTGACGTTAATGGAATAAGCATCTTCAAAATAAATTTTGTGAAATAATTCAAAATCAGGAGGCTGAAGAGGACGTTTTTTATATAGCCTAAGGTGGCCATTAAGAGACAGAGATTTCGATTTCGATAAAGTTTTCAATACTACTACTCCAACGATGATCGAGGGATTAAAATGGTAAACGTATTTTGCTCCAGACAACAACAATACTGGGTTACTTTGGGGCCACACCAAGCAGCATTCTCTGTTGTATTTATCTATGAACTTCTTCATGTAATCATCTATCTTCTTAACAACACATGTGCTTGTTATATAACAAGAACTGTTATTATTTTCTGGAGGAATCATTTCTGGTGAAGGTTGCATCACCTGGAATCTGCAGATCCATTCGTCCGTCATGTTGGTATTAATTTTGGTTCTCAAAACTTACGACTTGTATCTTCTATCTTGTGCTATTTAGTTGATACTTTCATATTTATTATGTATAAGTCACCTGAAATTTCAGAGAAAATGCATTAGTAGAAATTGGAAATTATCAGGTTTGACAGTTTATCGAACCTTTATAGACAGTTCATAGAACCATTCAAAGTTGCTATTATAAAAGTATATTTTTTTCCTTAGATCCACATCTGTATATTAGTATATGCCCCACACAGCTCTAAATTTAACAAATGATAGTGAGTAGGCCAACAGTAACAGCCTGGTTGATCAGGCCCTGATCCACCATGATTATTATAATCAAGGGGGAGCGCTAAACCCGTAGGATTATGCAGCTGATCCACCATGAGGTCTTGTCACAGACCGGGCCACGGGGGGCGTTGACCCCCGAAACCCTCTCCAGGTATAGGTTATGGTGAGGTAACATATTAATGAGACAATGCAGCTATGTGGAGCCAATACTGAAGATAATTCGCACATACACCGTACCAGTGAACAGGCGTAACATTGTTAATTAAGGTTCCATATCACTGTATTTGTCTCTTTACTAACAGAAGATAATGGAAACAGTATATACAGTGTAATATTGTACATACAGTCACATTATTAAGGTACAGGTACCATAAATGCAGTTACATAAATTATCATACATATCAGCGTATGTGTAGATTACCTCGGATAACCAAAAAAAAAAAGTCAGACATTTTTATATTTAATGCTTTAAACCAGTGTTGATCATTCAGTGACATGTTCATTAGATTAGATTTACGCGAAGTCCTTATGAAGGGTTATTCAGCGGGAAAAAAAGTAGTGGAGGCTCGATCCTCCGTCTGTTCAGCAAGTATACATGGGTGAGAAACAGAAGTGCCTCATTCTAGTAGGACTGAAGTATGTGCATTTGGGTATATGTTTGCAGAGCTTGCAAAAAAAAAAATCGCTATAACACTATCAGCATGGCTAAATCACTTATAAAGGTCTCACTGTCTTCAGTCTAAACTATAAATCATCTCCAGTTTCAATACAATGAATCTTACCTTCGATAGAAACAGTAGTGACCGTAAATGAATATATTTCCTTATAGACTTTTTCAATTCTACGTCGATAAACCGAGGTGGTCTCAGCATTTAGACACGAACAATTCTGTCCTTATCTCATCTACATCCGCCCACTGCCCACTCTCTCATACGTCTCTATATATTGTAGCTTCTATCAAATTAAATTTACATCTTTCGCTGTTTTTTTTTAAATTATTATTATTTTTAATTTATGAAAAATAGAAGACAAATAATTATAAATGAATGCTCCAACTATTAACATAAACAGCAAATAATAATTATTACTGAATATTTACACTTGTTTATGTGGCGCCATCTTCAATCTCCTTATACTTATCCCTGCAAGCGCTGTATAGTCCTTGTGGCTTAGCGCTTCTTTTTGATTATAATAATAATAATAACTTATCCCTGCTGCAAGGGGTGATTTGATGCTGGTCAGCGGCTCTTAATCCAAGGAATTGGCGCTACCATAGCTCCCTTGTCTCACGTCAAACCAGATTACTTTCAATTTCCTAGATGCTGTTTGACCCCCTGAGGGTTTAGCGCTTGTTCGTGAATAATATAATCCGTATACTTGCTAGGGAAACATGAACATTTGCTTAGTGAATGCCTCCGAATTTCACTTTGCTGTTTATGTCGCTCGTCACAGTTGCCTATTTACTTTTTTTTCCGAGTATCTCCGATTCTGCAGTGTTATCACTAATGTATGATGACTCCAAAAGTTGGTACCCGGCTGTCTTAAATAACGTTCTAAACCATGGGTTATACATAATCTTCACTTGAATGACCACTAGGAAACTCAGTATTAAAACCTGCAACATACTGTTTGGAAATAATGCAAGGTTAACGCAATGAACCACGTCAGACTAGTATAAGAAACACCCAGAGGCAACAAGATAATGTTATCTAAAAAAAAAAAATGCTAAAAACGCATAATGAAAAGGGAATAAAAATGGATTAAAATAAGTCAAATGCACTGGAATGTTTAGGTTAGAATAACTATATTAATCTACGAACCTACAGTAATTCCCTCAACAATACAATACGTACTATCTTTATTTCTTTACAAAAGTTACAATGTGCAATTTACATTTTATAAAATGTTAAGTACAAAGAAAGTCACTAACAAAGCCACCCAAATAACAGCCTTTGATATGCTAACAAATTTATTCCATCCCAGTCCCCCAAGAAATTAATCGCTCATAATTCTCAAATTCAACACGTTGATAAGCAATACTCTTGAAGACATGCACAGTCCACAGGCTGAAGATTGAGACACTTATGCAACATATGGGAATCTTTATTCAGGAAACGTTTCGCCACACAGTGGCTTCATCAGTCCAATACAAAGCAAAAGGTGTAAGGAGAGGAGGAGTTTGAGGTAATCAGTCCCTCAGCCTGGAGTCGATGTGTTCAGCCCATCACCTGACTACAGTATATAAGCCACGTCTAATGCCCTATGCTGTACATTCTACAAGATTGATGGACTGAACACATCTACTCCAGGCTGAGGGACTGATTACCTCAAACTCCTCCTCTCCTTACACCTTTTGATTTGTATTGGACTGATGAAGCCACTGTGTGGCAAAACGTTTCTTGAATAAAATTTCCCATATGCTGCATAAGTGTCTCAATCTTCAACTTGTCGGTTTTTCAAACCATTCATCACAGGCTGAAAGCATCACTGGAATACACTAGGGGCATTCTCTTCTCTAATAGTGGGAGGATGTGAAGTGCTGTGTCATCGTAATCCAATTTAATTGTAACATAATTAAAGAGAAACTAACTTATATGGGACGCAGTGTAAGATAAACCCATTGAAAAGCATGGACGCCATGGGCACTTTAAGAGAGCCCATTATCAACACGTGGCTTCAGACTATTCAGCATTCTATCTGAAGAAAGTTTTTGCCATACTTACTACTCTCAAGCTTTCAGAATCTACAGCCACAGTTTAACCAGATGTGTTTCGCTGGTTACACGAGCAATGGTTCGAGGTCCTTTAACCAGAGGTTTGGTAAGTTGGGGAAGGAAGGATAAGTAAGGATGGAATGTGGAAAAATGGGAGTGAGGAGAGGAGGCAATAAAGGTAACTGGCCAGAGCACTTTGGTGTGTATTAATATAGGTGCGTGTTTGTGTGTTGTGTTAAACAATAATCAGATGATTGTGTATACCACACCATCCATCAGACATATTTTGTAACTGCATAGAGGTATCCGCAATATCGCATTTATAACGCTGTCTATGTCAACACCCACAAGAGAAAGAGGAGCTACAGCTCAATTCCCTCAAGAAATCAAGAAACTATAGCTCAATTCTTCCATGAGGTCAATGAGCTTGCAATCAACACTTGCAAGAGACCCAGGGTTTGGGATATTGGCAGTTTGGAGGGATATGTTGTTTATCTTTATACGTATATGCTTCTAAACTGTTGTATTCTGAGCACCTCTGCAAAAGCAGTGATAATGTGTGAGTGTGGTGAAAGTGTTGAATGATGATGAAAGTATTTTCTTTTTGGGGATTTTCTTTCTTTTTTGGGTCACCCTGCCTCGGTGGGAGACGACCGACTTGTTGAAAAAACAAAAAAAAAACTTAAGAAGCCTAGTATTTACAACTTAACCTCATCAAAAGGCCAGGAGCTGTAGGTCAACACCATTGAGGCACAAAAGCTGTATTATATTCATGGGAAAGTGCTAAATTTATGGGGGTCATACAGAGCTTGGTTGAATGGGAAGGATTGGGGTAATCAAATTTGATCTGAAGAGGAAGATAGCTCTGGCTCCTCTAATCAACAGCCCTTCCCCATTATTATTATAATCAAGGGGGAAGCGCTAAACCCAGAGGATTATACAGCGCCTGGGGGGGGGGATGTGGAAGGCATTCAGGCTTAATTCGGGGAACTGGAGCACAAATCCAATTCCCTAAATCAAGAGCCCCTCACCAACAAGCCCTTCCCCAGCATCATGATACCTGGGGCAGGAACTACAGATGAACACCCTTATGAGGCCCACCAGCTGGAATTCAAACCAAACCTGGCTACCATGGTTTGACTAGACAGGATGTTTTTCAGCAATCTCAAAAAAATTCCATGAATAAGTTACTCATCAGGTGGGGCCAAGTGGATTAACCACTGCCATCCCATGTTTGAGCATAGTTGTCTGAAGCACAACAGGGTTGTTTATTACTTTTATCAAAAACTTTATAACTTCTAGGGCATGTAAATGATAAAGCAATTAAAAGTCAAGTGTGATGAATATATGAACTTTATCTTCATGTGAACAATGGAAAATTCCCAGAACATTAGTAGTCCCAGAAAGTTGTCTTAGGCACAAGGTTATTTATTGTTCTTTTAATTAACATTATTATTATTATCTTTTTCTTTTCTTTGGGTCAGCATGCCTCGGTGGGAGATGGCAGACTTGTTGAAAAAAAATACTATATATAATATAACTAAATGCTAAACCACCTGGGTCATACACTTTAATCAACATTAATGCACATTTGGTGATCCTCTGAAGATTATTGACAGGTTATATGGTTATATATTACTGTTAACTATCGTGTTTGCAAGGCTTATCGGGTTGGTTTCGTTTGCATTTTTACTTAAATATCTGTTTTTGCAGACTACTGTGAAATAGTGAGATTCCAAGGGGTTTCATGATTTCTCATTATCAAGGAACTTGGGATATTGCCAGTTTCGAGGGACTTCTAAACTGTAGTATCTGAGCGCCTCTGCAAAGACTGTGATTACGTATGAGTGATGGTGAAAGTGTTGAATGATGTTTTTTTTTTCTTTGTTTTTTTGGGTCACCCTGCCTCAGTGGAAAACGGCATACATGTTAAAAAAAAATCATATATATAATTTTTTTTTTTTAACATGTCGGCCGTTTTCCACCGAGGCAGGGTGACCCTAAAAGACAGATTATTATTATAATCAAGGGGGTAGTGCTAAACCCGGAGTAGTATACAGCGCCCAGGGGGGGGGGGATGTGGAAGGCATTCAGGCTTAATTCGGGGAACTGGAGCACAGATCCAATTCCCTAAATCAAGAGCCCCTCACCAACATCAAGGAACCTTCTATGAGGGGACTAAAAGACAGAAAAACCCAAAAAAAGAATGAAAGAAAAAAAATTTCATCACCCAAACCCCTCCTTTAAAGTGCAGGCATTGTACTTCTCAATTCCAGGACTCAAGTCCAGATAACTGGTTTCCCTGAATCCCTTCACAAAATATTACCATGTTCACACACCAACATTATATATATGCAAAACAACCACTGTGAAAGAATAGTGAAATTCCAAGTGCTTTAGTGACTTCTCACTTTATCAAGGAACTATATTTCCTTGATAATGCGAGAAGTCACTAAAGTGCTTGGAATTTCACTATTCTTTCACAGTGGTCGCTGTATAGTCCTTGTGGCTTAGCGCTTCTTTTTGATTATAATAATAATAATTTCACAGTGGTTGTTTTGCATATTCTGAAATCACCTATTTACTGTGATCTTATTGCATATATATATTTTTTCTTTTCATGTATGTATATATATATATACATATATATTACATATATATACATATATATACATATATAACAATGCCTGCACTTTAAAGGAGGGGTTTGGGATATTGGCAGTTTGGAGGGATATGTTGTGTGTCTTTATATGTGTATGCTTCTGGACTGTTGTATTCTGAGCACCTCTGCAAAAACAGTGATAATGTGCGAGTGTGGTGAAAGTGTTGAATGATGATGAAAGTATTTTCTTTTGGGGGATTTTCTTTCTTTTTTTTTGGGTCACCCTGCCTCGGTGGGAAACGGCCGACTTGTTGAAAAAAAAAAAAAAAAAATTAGTGTAATAAACACTTGTCAATGCTCAGTAATAACCCTTGGGATCCTCTTCAGGAGATATGCAAGTAAAAGGAGAACATGAATTTATAGGGAAGGTTACACCTCTCATGTGGGGAGGCTGAATGACATGATAGGGCCTGTAGGGAAGCTTAAAAGTTGTGTAGGAAGTTCCCTTGTGCTTTGCAATTCCTGATCTTGTGCTGGCATTCTGTAATAGATTGGGAGTTGGTACGTACAGTGCTCGTCACGGCAATATGCCAGGTGAGCACCCCGGCATAATGCCGTAACGAAAATCAAAGGCCTACCATACAGGGGAGTCTGTTTTCGTTAGTGCATTATGGCAGGTAGCAGCCCTTAGCATGACGTCTCAGCCTGCTGCTACACTGCAAAGTAACTCATCAGTGCTCACATGACTAGTGTGATGAGGAAGTGTTGTACGTTTGTCTCACGTCCAATTCATCTTTTGTCTGGTGTTCCTTTTGGTTTGGGGATATACATGTTTGATTATGGGTAAAAGGAAGTCTTGAACACCTGATACTATAGCTCAAATCATAGGGCTTCACAAAGCTGGGCATCAGACGAAAGAGTGGAGAATGTTGGTGTGTGAGAGCGTTCAGCCAGGAACTGGGTGCAGCATTCATATAAACGCAATTAAGATGTCAGTCATAAGCTATTAAACCCATATTGGTCATATACTGCTTGGTGGGAAATGGGAGCCAATCAGGTTTGATCTAAGAAAGGGAATTATTATTATAATCAAGGGGGAAGCACTAAACCTGTAGGATTATACAGTGCCTGTGGGGGGATGTGGAAGGTATTTTGGTTTAATTCAGGGAACCGTAGCAGATCCAATTCCCTAGGTCAAGAGCCCCCTCACCATTATCAAGGAACCTTCCTTGAGGAGTAAGAAAAGGGAAGGTTAGATCCAATTTCCTGAATCAAGAACCTCTCACCAAATTCAAGGAACCTCATTTCATTGGACTGCATGTAAAAAGTCTTGTTCTTAATTTAGAAGTACACAAGTTAGAAGCTTCCTTGTAATGACTGCATCCTCCACATGTAATATTGTAGACTCCAGTATACCAATTTTGTTAGTACAGTACATTTTGTCAAATACCTTAATGGTTTTGATCAAATACTGTACTACTATACTCATATTAGCTTTCTGAAGATAGGTAACAGCTGATGCAGTGCTATGTGCTTTATATGCTGCCAATTTCTTATTTCTTTTAAACACTGGTATGGTGACCCAAAAAAGAAACTTTCACCAACATTCACTATCATTGTCTTTCCAGAGGTGCATAGATACAAACAGTTCAGATGCCTCTCCAATCTGCATTATTATTATAATCAAAAGGAAGCGCTAAGCCACAAGGGCTATACAGCGCTGCAGGGTAGGGAAGGAAGCGAGGGTATTGGGCAGCAGAAGGGGGAAGGGATGATCAGTAGCTTACAGAAAACAGTGGGGCAGGGGATAGTGCGGGGGTAGAGGGCAGCAAGAGATTGAGGTAGAAAGGGCTGAAGGTATCATCAGAGTTTGTGAAGCAAGTCAGTTGTCAAAAAGTCAATGAGAGTGTCCGGATGAAAGGTGGGTCCATCAGCGAGAAGGGAAGGTAAAGAGAGAGCAGCGGAGCGAAGTCGACGTTGGAGGTATATTCTGCGTGCTCGTTGATAAAGTGGGCAGTCTAATAGAATGTGACTGACCAATAATAGAACCTGATAATTCTCACAGAGAGAAGCAGGGCGCCTCTCCATGAGATATCCACGAGCAAGACGAGCATGGCCAATGCAAAGATGGGAGAGAGTAGTCTCCCAACCTCGACACTGGTGACAAGAAGACGGCCAGTAACCTATACTTGGTTTAATAGACTGAAGTTTGTTACCGAGCAGAGTGGACCAACGTTGTTGCCAACGGGTGTGAAGGTGGGTAGCTATTGCAGCAAAATAGTCCGTAAATGGAACACCTCTATATGAAACTGGTAGGTCATGTACTGCTGACCGCGCAGCAGTGTCTGCCTGTTCATTGCCCTGTATGTCAACATGACCAGGGACCCAACAAAAAACAATATCTTTATGCTTGGTAGAGATGCGGCGTAGCCAAAGTTGGATACGGAGGACTAAGGGGTGAGGTGTATCAAATTTCTGTATAGCCTGTAAAGCACTAAGGGAGTCTGAGACAACCACAAATGATGACACATGCATAGATGCAATAGAGGTAAGTGCTGCAAGAATGGCATACAATTCAGCAGTAAAAATACTAGCCAAAGATAGTAAATGCCCTCATACGATGCTGTCTGGAAACCCTGCTGCGAATCCTACGCCATCAGAAGACTTAGAGCCATCTGTGTACACTGCAATAGCATGAGAAAGAGTGGAAGTGGTCAAGAAAAAGAGTGGGAAGCTACCGTAGACAGTTGGGCTTTCGGGCAAGGGAGAGAAAGAACAGACTCAAACAGCTGGAACTTCCCAGGGGGGTAGGGGAAAGTGAGATGCTACATGAACATAGGTGGTAATTGAAGAGAAGACAAGAGCGAATGTAGGCGAAGAGAGAAGGGACTGAGCAAACAGGGGCGGCAAACAAATAAAGAATGTCTACTAATATCGGTGACCATTCTATAAAAGGAAGGATTGCGGAGATCATGAGAGCATACATAGTAGCGAAAGCAATGGGCATCACGGCGATCGGATAAGGATGGAACGTTTGCTTCTGCATAGAGGCTCTCAACAGGGGAAGAGCGAAAAGCACCAAGGCATCAACATAATCCTTGGTGATGAATGGGGTTAAGGCTAGAGAGGGTAGCAGGAGAGGCCGCTGAATAGATCTGGTCACCATAATCAAGTTTCGATAAAATGAGGGTGAAATGTAGGCGAAGGAGAGTTCGACAATCAGCTCCCCATGAAAGATGAGCAAGAGTTTTAAGAAGGTTCAGCCGGTTGTGCTCCAATCTGCAAATATACCCACCTCTCCTTTAGAGTGGAGGCACTGTCCTTTTCACCTCCAGGACTCAAGTCTAGCTAACCTTCTGTTTGATAAAATCCCATGGGTTAAAAGTCATTTAAATAAAAGGATCTTTGCTACAATCTTTCTACTACTATTTGTTTGTTTACAGTCATTATTTCATACAGCATAGTCCTATTCTTTATGATACAAATTATTTAAAATACAGGAAACCAGAATAGTCTTATTAAAATTTATTTTTTTCTGTACATTTCATAAATATTAAACAAAAAATTTCTATACTCTTAACAGCTATTAAATTCAAAAAATAAGGATAGAGAGATTTTAGAATAGGCTTGATAAGTGTAAATACTTTTAAGAATATAATGTAGTAATCTGAATGTACAAGCATGTCAAATACAACGTGACACCTCTAATACAATTTAATCCACCTTAACTATTTTTTAATTAACTATTTTTAATTAATGTGCATATACAGGACAGTACTGAAAATTCTGTATACATAAATTTTTTTTATCAATGCATTTATTGTAAACTTTTGTATTATATTAATCAAAATGGACAAATAGGCAAAGAACTACAAGTATTAAGAAATACTGTACCACTTCACACTGTTAGTCTTTGTGGCAGACAAAGTAACACAGAAAACAATCTGCTGTAGTAGCAATTTACACCAATATAACAATTACAAATAATAGAGGAAAGAATTTATCCCCGTTATATTTTCCTTGTATACTGCTTCAGAACAATATTATCTTACTCGGTTTTAGCTTCCTTTTCCTTCTTCTTGTGACCCCTTGTACGGAAAGCTTTCAGCTGGCTGAATACAATGTGTGTAAGGATCCATCCAGGAAAGTGCATCTTGGCCACTTCAATGAAGTAAACCTGATAAAAATTTATGAAAATCAATTCAGGGATAAAGAAACGTTTTTAATTAAAGATTACCTAAGCAATACTCTTAAATAAACAATAAAAATTTCCATGCCATTTATTGGTTACATAAATGCCTTACACTGCTGAACATACTTTACATCACTGCTGATTTTTTTTTTTTTAATCAAGGGGAATGTGCTAAATTTTAGGGTCATATTTCAACTAGGAAATAGGAGGTACTGAAGTTTGATCCAAAGGGAAGAAGTTAAGTTCCTAGGATCAAGAGTCATTAGCATCAAGGCTTGATATAGCGCAGATTACCCCCTATGAATCACTAAATCGTAATGACAATTGCAAACAAACCATACCATGGGTGGGGTTTGAACCTGCGGTCAGAGAGTCGTAAAACTCGAGACTGACTCATTAGCCACTGGGCCAGCTGGCTACAATAAGATTCATCCAACTAGGTATATTTATATTATATTTATACACCATAAGAAGGTTAGCATAGGCACCACTGACCATACCTGCCCGTGGTATGGTTTGTTTGCAATCGGGTGATTACGATTTCATTAGTCATGATGATGGCTTTGCGGGGACAAGAGCTAGAGTTCGACACGGCCATGCTGGTGGGAGATTTGTCTTTAAAAACTTGCACTTGTGCTCACAGTGGTGTCTATGCTAACCTTCCTAAGTTGTATAAATATACCTAGTTGGACGAATCTTATTGTAGCCAGCTGGCCCAGTGCTCCCTCTGAGCCCAGTGGGGGCGGAGAATGGGGCTAGGCCTGGGGACAGCTGGTCACAGAAGACAAGGAGGTACTTGTACCTCCTCCCATGGTAGACAATGGTCTGAGACACTCCCTCAACCAGGAGCCAAGGCCAGGCCACCTCTTGGAAAAGGCCTGAGCTGGGTGATTATACCAGCGAATCTACAACAGAACAGCTGGCCCAGTGGCTAATGCGTCGGTCTGGGGTTTTACGACTGACCGTGGGTTCAAGCCCCACCTGTGGTATGGTTTGCCTCCTATGAAGACTAGAAGTGCTGTGAATATACCAGGAGATAACTCATTAAATGTCAAAGGTACAAGACTTCAACACCCTTCATACTTAAGGAAAATTACCAACAGATAAATAAAGGAAGTGGAAAAGTTAGTCAGTTCCTATCAACCGGACTGTGTGGTGCGGCTAGCACCAAACAGCTTGGCTGATCAGGCTATCTAGCAAGCTTCATCTGGGAATGAGAAAAAATGCAATGACCCCTGAAATCAACTCTACATAGATTATAAGTATCCCATTCATGATTATGCTTTTAATCACCTCCCCACTATTTCTGGAGCTGTAATTTGTCTGGGGTTTGATCCCACTGATACTTTTGTGAGTAGTCCAGCCCAATCTGGGTGCCATGTTGGATCAGTCAACATTCCTCTTGGATCATTGAAGAAAAAATTACATCCTTTGGACAGCCAGCATGAAAACCTTGCTGCAAGCTTTTGATTAACCCTGTAGTAACTTAAGCTCTTCTTAACTACCCCCTTTTGCCTCACAGAACTGCTCTAATTACAGCCTCTCCTCACTTAGCGACGTATTTGTTTACCGACACCTCGGACTTATGACGGGCTCTCCAACCGGTTTCATGCCTAAATAATGTCTATTAAGTATCCTCCTGCTTATATTCATGATCGTAACATTTTTTCAAACATTAAAATATTTACCAAAATTATAATGCGCAAAGTAGCATTAAAAAAATCCAAAACGATTTCGACAACGCGCCAATCCTCACTGCTGCTCCTCACTTAGCCGAAATTTTGTACATGAGGCAGAGGCTGTATATCAAAAGAAAACATAATACTCTGAACTCAATATTCATAAAGGAGAATAACTGAAAAATATGTGACCATGGCCCGAAGAAAGTTTTGACTTGTAAAAGGTGGAATAGTTGAAATAGAAATTTGAGTTGGCCACTTGTGAGTCTTCCATTTGTGAATCATGTCTTTATAATTTGAGCAAATAAATGTATCAATTGATTTGACCAACCTTTATGATAAAATACACACGACAGCATTTCAATACCCGTGCTCGGTTGACATTACAATATGGCCATTTTGGGACCTAAGTAAGGTCGCCTGATCATGGACATGATCGAATTTGTGCACAAATGGTACCAGCACACTGCAACTGTGACCCTTGCTAGAATCCCTGACAAGGACTGAAGCTCTGCACTATGGAAGAATCTTATAAAAATGCATCTAATGATAGTTTTACCTGCTCACTTACTAATCATAACTATACGACTTAATCTATGTCATTGCCAAAATTGACAACTTTCCCCTTTTGTGGTTTTAATTAACTTTAACTTAGGCATAGAAGAAAATTTTTTAATAAGGAAATTAAAAGCAAATTCGACAATTCATACTAATTTGGAAATAATGTATATGAAATTGATTAAAATCTGAATTATTTTATACACAAAAATAATATGCCAAACCTGTAGGAAACCAGAATAAGAAGCCCTTGGTTATGAGAACCTCCACAAATGAATTTTGAGATGTACTCTTTATGAACAATTCATGTGTCAATAAACCCCATTACATTCTTTTACATTTCTTTATTCATTCATTTTGGTGGAAACTATGAACATATTTGTGAGAAAGACAGCATAGTATATCATGGAAGACACTGTATAACATGAAAAAGAAGATTCTTAATAGATGGCATTTTTTATGCCTCCATCTTTAGTAGGGAACAGCATAACCCATGTCAAGCCACCTACCCATATGTACAACCAATAATAGAAGTTGTTACATGAAGACTTTCCCCAAACTGTTGGAAGTTCATAGAGTTTGGCACAGCTTCAAACAAATGTGTTAATGCAGTTACATATGCAGAACTTAGACAAACCTTTGGGTAAAAAGTTTGCACCTGTATAATGCTACCAAGACCACAAAATATAATTTGATAAATTTTTATGCTAGTATGGACACTGAATACGTATTTACTTTAAAAGAAATTACTATTTGAAAAATTTGTTTATTCACAAACCTTGGTTGCTCCATATACAGCTAATAATGGAGCTGGAATGATTGACGATAAAGACGACAAGTTCATAATGACGCCTCGTTTCCTTTCTACCATACCAGGTAGTACGATGCGGGTCATATGAGTTAATGACTTGATATTACAGTTGATTAGCCGGTCACACATCCTTTAGAATAGAACCAAGGTAAATAAATCTGACCTATCTTCTAAAACTCATTAGCCATTACTACCTGATTACATTTCTAAAAGAAAATAAATATGTTTTTCCTAACAGCAAAGGGATAAATAAATAACAAAAAGGCACAATACCATGACTGGAACTATACACAAATAACCCGCACATAAAAGAGAGAAGCCTACGACGACGTTTCGGTCCGACTTGGATCATTGACAAAGTCACACTAACGGAGGAGGAGGAGAAGAAAAAGAAGAAAAAGAAAAAGAAAAAGAAAAAGAAGAAAAAAAAAGAAAAAGAAAAAGAAAAAGAAGAAAAAGAAAAAGAAAAAGAAAAAGAAAAAAAGAAAAAAAGAAAAAGAAAAAGAAGAAGAAAAAGAAGAAAAAGAAAAAGAAGAAAAAGAAAAAAAGAAAGAAAAAGAAAGAAAAGAAAAAGAAAAAGAAGTAGTAGTAGGAGTAGTAGTAGAAGGAGTAGTAGTAGAAGGAGTAGTAGTAGGAGTAGTAGTAGAAGGAGTAGTAGTAGAGTAGTAGTAGTAGTAGTAGTAGTAGTAGTAGTAGTAGTAGTAGTAGAAGGAGTAGTAGTAGTAGAGGAGTAGTAGTAGTAGAAGGAGTAGTAGTAGTAGAAGTAGTAGTAGTAGTAGTAGTAGAAGGAGTAGTAGTAGTAGAAGGAGTAGTAGTCGTAGAAGGAGTAGTAGTCGTAGAAGGAGTAGTAGTCGTAGAAGGAGTAGTAGTCGTAGAAGGAGTAGTAGTAGTAGTACAAGAATTGTACTACAACTACTGATGAAATTAAGACATGTGCGGCGTCTGGTTGTCTTTGTTGTGGACATTTCGCCATCCAGTGGCTGGCTGGATGGCGAAACGTCTACGATGGGGGATGCCCGGGTGTTGTGCATGTGTCTTAATTTCATCTTGTCGGTATTATATACAATTCTTGTACTACTAACTAACTACCTCCACCTCTTCCTGCCTATATATAGCCATCCTGCTCCACCTCTGTTAGTGTGACTTTGTCAATGGTCCAAGTCGGACCGAAACATCGTCGTAGGCTTCTCTTTTATGTGTGGGTTATTTGTGTATAGCAAAGGGATATTCTTTTAATGTTAACCCTTTGAGGGTCGACATGTCCTCTCCGAGACTCGTTCTCAGGGTCGGCCAAATTAAAAAAAAAAATTTCTTATGAAAAGATAGAGAATCTTTTCCCGATCACGACACCAAAAGTATGAAATTTGATGGAAAACTTACGGAATTATGCTCTCGCGAAGTTAGCGGTCTCGGCGATGTTTACGCATCGGCAATTTTGCCCACTTTGAGCCCCATTTTTGGCCAATTCCACTGTACTAGTCGACAAAAAACATGAATATTTCACTAGAACTCCATTTTTTCTATCAAATGAGTGCAAGAAACCACCCATTTACCAATTTCAACTATCCAGTACAGTGGTCAGAATTTAGCAATTTTGCCAATTTCACACAAATTTCAAAAGATGCCAATTTCCGAATTGGGTCCAGAATAAACAAGAAAGACATTCCTGGCACTAAAATGACATTTCCTCTGTTCATTAGTTACATCTCAAGGCCCCTCTTACATTCTTTTGCTTTCCACTTTGAATTTTTATTCTCACAAAAAATAGAAGATTTACTGTTATGCAGACTACTGAATTAGTGTAAAAAATGGTATAAATAATATTGGTGCACTTGCGAAAGAATATTAGACTCACCAGTTGACGTGTGTTGGACGCTTGGCATGATTTGTTTACTTTTGAACTTTGGTAAAAATCGAACATTTCTGCTACTTTGAGCTCAATTTCAAGATACTTTTCATTGTAAAACCAGTCAAAATCATCTCAATTTCTGTAATATGTCTTCCATTCCATAAAATGAGATCAAGAAAACTAGAATACAACAATTAATACCATACGAAAATACAGTGCAAAGTCGCTGTTTTATAAAAAAAAAAAAATTTTCTCATTATGCACTGTGTGCTGCAGGATTTTTTTTATACTGTGCACACTGATCACATGGAACCATTCTTTCATATGTAGACCTACCAGCTTTCTCCCACTAGATTTGAGGGCGCTAGAATTTAGGCGTACTAGTACGTCAAAAACCCTGGGTCGTAAGCCGTACTAGTATGGCCGAAACCCTCAAAGGGTTAAGTGGACTTCTTTGAAGCAATAAAGCACCATAATTACTTATTTGTATGGTAATTATCTATACGAGTCTGTAGGAATGAGCTCTACCTATTAACCCTGCAAGTTTACTTTTAATCAGCTGATGTGTTTATACAACTGTAGATCATTTGAGTAAGTAGTTTCTAAACATTTCTTGTTTTTTAATAAAAGCAGAAATAGCTTTCAACTTTCATCATAGCTTGAATCAGTATGAATGTACTTTGAGAGACCTCTACTTTCATTTTATGCTTGACTAACTAAAAAAACGGCCATATCGCACCTGAGGCAGGGCGACTTAAAAAGAAAAACCAAAGTTTTTCTTCTTTTTAAATTTAGTAATTTATACAGGAGTACTAGTCCCTTGCTCCTGGCATTTATTATATTACTATATATTCACAAACGTTATAGGTAGTAGGTTGGTAGATAGCAACCATCAAGGGAGGTACTACCGTCCTGCCAAATGAATGTAAAACTAAAGCCTGTAATTATTTTACATGATGGTAGGATTGCTGGTGTCTTTTCTGTCTCTTAAAAATGCAAGATTTCAGGTACGTCTTGCTACTTCTACTTACACTTAGGTCACATTACACATACATGTACAAGCATATATATACACACTCCTCTGGGTTTTCTTCTATTTTCTTTCTAGTTCTTGTTTATTTCCTCTTATCTCCATGAGGAAGTGGAACAGAATTTTTCCTCCGTAAGCCATGCGTGTTGTAAGGGGCGACTAAAACGCCGGGAGCAAGGGCCTAGTAACCCCTTCTCCTATACAAATTACTAAATTTAAAAAGAGAAATTTTGTTTTTCTTTTTGAGCCACCCTGCCTTGGGATACGGCCGGTTTGTTGAAAAAAAGAAAAATTCACAAACGTACCCAACTTGCATGGGTCACAGTGCCAAAAGGATGAGGAAGAGTAAGGAAAGGTTCCACACCTGTGTACTCAGAAATAAGCCTCAACCACAAGTTATGAAGTCAGAAATGTCTATCTAGGTTTCTAAATGCCATCCTAATATTTGCAATTATCTGTGCTCCTGAGTTTAAGTTGTGCATTTGCAACACCTAATGCTAAACAGTTATTACTGTAGGATGAAGAATGAACTAAGGATACTTGTGTGAAACCTAGTGGCTTGCCAAACCAATAATTAATTTCACATGTGTTTCTTAATTATCTCACTACAAAAGTCACTACATAATTGTCAGACATCAAATTCAATTTCCAGAGCATTTCTACGTGCATTTGACCCTTGCTTTTCATTCATCCATTCTCTCTCTTCCAAAGACTATCTGCAAAGCATATATCTTTCACCTCTTGCCAATCAAATTTGTATACTATAGGTCAACCATCACTAATCCGGCATCACTGGTACCCGTTAGTTGCCGGATTAGTGATTTTTGCCAGAAGAGAGTAGTCTAGACCTGTCAACTGAATTTGAAATTACGCTAGCCAAAATTAGCACCAGATTAGTGATGGAACTGGATTTGATTGCCGAATCAGTGATGGCCAACCTGCACTACACATAAAAAAAAATTTTTACAATTTCTTTTATTTTACATAAGAACTGTTACCACTGCATATATTTTAAAGAGTGAAGAGGCAAGAAACATCTTGAGAGCGAGAAAAAAAAAGTCACAAGAAATACAAAGATTAGAAAGGCAATACTGTACCTAAAAAACAGGAATTATATCACTCAAGAAAGTTTTTGTTTTACAAAAATTTAAAAGTGTAATAGCATTAAAAGTCTGGTATTTTATGCATGTTTACTCCACAGTTTTTTGCAAGGTAAAGATACTGTTAAGAGAAGAAATTTCAATATTATGGTAAAACATGGAAGAAATTGTCTGCAAGATTCAAATACAGGTATATCAACTACAAAGTTTGTTTGATACACTGTACTCAAATACCTATGAAAATTTATGGTTTGAACTGAAAATTCAGTGATTAAAAAAAACAAAAATACAGTAAAAACATTGCAAAAAGTTTATCAAATATTTGACGTGTAATGAACCGTCTGTAAACTGCTCGTGAGTTACAGGAGACTAGAACCTTAAATACTGTATTTAGGTCTTTGAAAAATTTATAAGAACTTACTCTTGGCAATCAGATATATCTGTAAAATATTCTGGAAAATCATAGCTCATGCCAACATTGTTCACCAGAACACCAACATCCAATTTCCCAACTTCGGACTCCAATCGTTCATAAATATCCTCTTTTGTGAAGTCAACATCAATGATCTTTGTGTCAACACCATATTTGCTATCTGAAAAGATCATATAAATATTAACACCATGTACATGGTAATACAAATTAAGGCAGATATACAGCACAGAATCAAATTTCATGCTTACGCATTTGAAATTATTAACCTAAGAAAATGAGAAATTTATCGCTACTGATACTCCCAATTTTCCTTAGCTGTTTTCATAGGTGGTAGGTTTGATAAACTTTAAAAAGGTTGCATCCAAGAACACTAAGATCAAGCCCCTACCTCTTTATACCTATTACACTCCTCCCCTTTAAATCTTCCTAAGGCATCCCCAACACCAATAATGCAGATGTGATATACACCGACTTCTGCAAAGGCATTTGACAATGGGATGATTGCACACAAATTGAAGGCCAAAGGCATTACAGGGAACATAGGCAGATGGATTTTTGGGTTCCTAACACAGAACAAATAGTAGCAGTAAACAGTAAAATCCAGCATCAGTGAGGTATAAAGCTCAGTTTGCAAGGCACTGTCCCAGCACCTCTGCAGTTATCCTCATAGCAGACCTAGATACAAACACCCATCACAATTTTGTATCATCATTTGCAGACACTAAAATAAGCATGAAAGTCACCTTGGTAGAAGACACTGAAAAATTACAGGAAGATATAAGCAGTGTTTTCTAGTAGGCAGTGAACAACATGACGTTCAATAGTGATAAATTCCAGCTGCTTACGTATGGAATAAACTCCAAAGGAACACTTTATAGAAAACTCAAGAGGGCTGTCAAACAGAACAAAAGAAACACATAAAAGACTTGGGAATAATTATGTCAGCTGACTTTTCTTTCAAAGAACACAATAAGACAGAGGTCATGACAGCCAGGAGGATGACAGGGTGGGTAATGAGAACTTTCAAAACTAGGGAAAATGCCAATGGTGACACTTCTCAAATTGCTAGTGCTCCCTCATTTGGAACATTCTTCAGTGTTGATGGCCCCATTCAGGGCTGGAGAAATATCTGACCTGGAACAAATACAAAGATAAACCATACCCCGGCCGGGATTGAACCCGCGGTCAGAGAGTCTCAAAACTCCAGCCGGCATAGAGCCAGTAAAACGCTTAAATTACTGGGAATGCTTTATGCATCTCCTCACTGGAGTGGAGGAGATGCACAACATATTCCTGGAAAGTACTCGAGGTCCCAAATCTGCAAACTGCCATAACATACTGGAGCGAGAGATATGGGAGGAAGTGCAAAATAAACCCAGTAAAAAGCAGGGGTGTGGTGGGCACCATAAGGGAATACTATCAACATATGTGGCCCCAGATTATTCAAACATCTTACCATAAGCTATTAGGAACACTGCTGGAACGAGTGTAGAAGTCTTCAAGAAAAAATGAACCAATATCTTCAAGATCAATCAGGCTATGGTAGATATGTGGGGCAGCAACAGCCTGGTTGACCAGGCTAGCACCAGACTAACCTTGCCCATGGTCAGGCTCTGGGAGTAGCAAGGCTCAAAACTCATCAAAGGTATACTAAAGGCATACACCACTGCTTCTCCACCTTATATTCACATGTCCATTTTATTACTGCATTTTGCACAAGTCTTTATACATAACCAAACTATCCCAATATTTCTTAAACTTTGTTTTGGAATGGCAGGATTTGCTATTTGAAGAGCAAATGTTTCACTTTATGAGAAGCCTTTTCAGGCCAATACACAATACACGTGACACGCCATTATATGCAAAAATATGGCGAGGTTGAGGTAGGCTTACTCAGGTCATGTTTTGCAGTGTGTAAGTAAGTTTATTCAGGTATACACAAATAGTTACATAGAATTATCATACATAGCAGCATATGTGTAGAGAACCTAGGATAACCCAGAAAAGTCCTTTATATTGAATTTTTCAAGATAACCTCAGCTTAAAGGTTTTGTAATGCTAAATGCCCCTGGTTCAGTTTTATGGTATTGGAAGAGTAAGCGAGTGCATACGTACTACTTCCTAACAATGTCTTGTCCAATTTTTTTTTTTTATAACCATTTACTCCATTTATTAGATGTGCTTGTTTGTCCCAATAAATGATATAAGCATTGTTTCTGCTGTTTTACAGTAACCCTAAAAACTACCATACAATATTAAAGTTTAACATACAATATTACATGGCACAGTCCGTGATGTCAAAAATAGCAATCCAGCTGTCCAGGCTTCAATAATTCCATGAAAAACAACACTACTGCTACTTAGTTGGCAAGCTAATACTGCAGCAAAGCAATTTCCCCAAGAAAATTGCTAAGCTTGTGTGGATGAATTTTGTTAAATAGTATATCCCATACAAGAATGTAGCAGTACGGTAAAAACATACCATGAATCACCTGTTACTGGTACCACCTCCTGACAGGGAAAACCTGGCCTAGGTTATGCTGTAAGTTTAAGCTTTGAAAATGATAAAGCAAAAAAAAATCTACAATGTTTTAAACAAAAGGCTGAATTACACCCATTTTATCTGATCCTGTTTGACCCATGTCAGAAGGAAGGCAACTACATGTCTTTGGTAGCTCCAATGCTAAATCAAGAAAATAATAGTTTATTATTTTGCTATGCATCCCATACCCACTGAGACAGACAATAGATTTAGTGCATCACTTGAATGATGGGAAGAAGTGCTTAAAAAAAACTGGCATAGCCCGTTTTCAAATGCAACCAAACTTAATTCTCAGACTTCTTAAGACAGGCCTTTTCATTATTCAATTCATTTACTGAAAACCCTCTGCAAATAGCTCCGATTATTCATAGTGCCCCCCCCCTTTTTTTTTTTGGGGGGGGGGGCTTACTGCACAACCCACAATATGAAAATTAAGAGGACTGTGAATATGTGCTTATTAAATATCCAATCCCAAAGCCTCCAATCTTCATTACAAAAGTCAAGATTAACTCACACTAGAGAGATTTAAAGAGATAGCCTCTAAAACATTTGCCAAATTCTGAAACAAAATTTATATGGGCAATTTTTATATTATTCACAGGTTCTAAATTTGCAGGACTTCTAGAAATGTAAGCCCCATGAATTAGGGGTTCAACTGTACAAGACACCTAATTAAATGGTTTTAAGAGAAAAATGAAAATGAGCATATTGCAGACATTTTGATAGAATACTGTATCATCCTGAAAGCTAAGCATATAGAACAAAACTAACATCTGGTAATGAAATCTTACTGATCTCTGCCGCCACATTCTGAAGCTTGAAAGGATTCCGACTGACTAGGACAACCTTTAATCCAAGACGAGCAAGCTGGAAAGCAAAATAAAGCAAGTAATACATTATAAAAAATATATATCAGTGACACCGCAGGACACTTCCTTTAAAGTGTCATTTTTAATCACGAAAGCTAAGGTTAGAGCTGTCGACTTGTTCTCATCTTTAATAACCATTGTGTCAAAATGTCTGTACTGTACAGCATTTTGTATACAGTAAGAGTAATGTATATAAAAATGAGAACGAGTTGAAAAAATATATACTATAGTACTTACAGCACGTCTTTGCCTTAGCTCCTAGTTAGCTTCCAAAAACTTGCATCCAAAATCAGCAGAACACAAAATGAGCTTCCCTAGCTTTAATGTTGCATATTAGGAATATTCTAAGCAATCCTCCCCCCCTCAAAAAAAAAAAAAAAAAAAAAAAAAAAAAAAAAAAAAAAAAAAAAAAAAAATATTTTTCACAAAATAATTCTAGTAAGCAGGGTGAGAGAGAAAGACTGACAAGAAGAGTCCTCCAAAATTTCTTTCTTGTCCTGTACTTTATAAATGGAAACAATCTCCAGTACAAAATTATTTCAAATTGAAGAACAGTTTTGGAAATTTATATTTTTTTGTGTAAATATTTTGTATCTACACGATCCTTCCAAATTCAGTCATTAAACAGTTCTTACAGCCTGTAAGTGTAAATCTCATTATAAAAGCAGTACTGTACAAATTGATTTATGATTTCCTCAAGGCTGGTTGGACTTGCTAATTCCATAAGTGTATTACAAATCTAGAGTACTTTGAAACCAACAAAAACACTGTACACTGCTAATAAACTTACCTCAAATGCATAAGCTCTGCCAATACCATCAGTGGCTCCAGTAACCACTGAAAACATGATATACCATTAGAATAGTTTAAAACAAAGCAAAACCATTTAAGCTATAATAAATTCTATATATCCAATATACTTCAGATTTGCTATAAACTTTGCCAATACCATCAGGAAACCTGGACATTACCTGGAGTTCCAGTAATTAAAAAAATTATGAAAATTCAAATCTGCCAAGGAAAATCTTAAAAGTAGTGAATTTGATCATTTCCACAGGTTTTTTTTGAAGTCCTCCCACAGGATGAGATCACAACAGTCAACTAACTCCAAGTGATGGGCAGCAAGTGTTAGTAGACTTGTCTATATGTCTCACTTCATATGGGTTAGACCCAATGTCCTCTTTGATGTGAGCAAGGGCTCCACTCAATGCACATCTAAGTGTAATATGCAAGGTGCTGACCTGATTACCAGTGATCTCACCAATATTAACAGATCATGGGTTAGCTAGGCATCTCCAATATTTCCCAATGGACAAAGAGTTCTCCCATGAATAAAATTAGTAAAATTATTGACAGTCACTAACCTAATATAACCTCACTTAATCTAGGAGAGTAAGTAATAACAGTAGTATGGATACAGATGTTTTACCATTACTACTGTTATCCCACTATTCTCCCCTATACGTATATACTCAGTGTTCATAAATGTACGTACTGGCATGACAAAACCCAGGATGGACAAATCAATGCCTTATCAAATGTCTTATTAAATTAAGCATGTTCATTTACCAAACTATTGTCAGTTTTAGTATCGATAATTACAAATGCAGGTTTCAAATTGTGCCAGGATGAAACCCTGGTTAGTAATGAGCCAAAGATGCTACCATTTGAGTCAACATAACACTCTTTGAATGCAAACTGTAAATGTTTGCTTTAGAGGAAAAAGCACTTCAGGCAAACTAGGACGAATCAAAAAAGCCAAGCAGTTTGGTTAGGTTAGGCAAGATTCATCTGGAAATTGGACAATTGTTTATCGATGCGGATCTTAGTTGTATGACCTGTCACTGGAGCTTTTGATCATGACTTGAGGCCTCCTATTGGCTTTCCCAATCATTTTTGTTTAAATTAAGGGTAACATTTAGTTTTTTTTCCACTGGGGTCCTTAGAGGTTCCCAAGTATGCAACCACAAATCTGATTTTTATTCTTATTTATTTTATCCATGGAGAAGCACTAAACCTACAGGGGTTAAATATTACCAGAGACTTATCCTCCCCAAGGCACCGCCATTATAAACTCTCAAAGTTATTTGCTACCAGTTGGACATGGGTAGCAGGTGTTAGGAGATTTCTCCATGTCTCCCCACCATGCCCTACACTGAACTAGGGTCCTTAGTGTGAGGCACGACTTGAGCAGATGTATGGGTGTTATAAGCAAGTTCATTTGGGCACAAGTACAAATATTAGTGTAAATTACTTAGGATAACAGCCACACAGGGACTCGTTTCCATTAGGGTCCTAAGTAAGTTTATTCTGGTATACACAAATACAGTTACATAGCTTATCATACATAGCAGCATATGTGTAGAGAACCTGGGATAACTCAAAAAAGTCAAGAGTGACTTATTTCCATTGGGGTCCTTTTACCTTATCATTATAATAAAAGGTTTTAATATCTTATTATTATTCTATAATGAAGATAACATCTTATTATCATGCTAAAAGGACTATCTACTACACGAGGGTCATTAAGACTACAATACGAGGTTATTACTAGGAATGTACAGCAATGCATGCAACCATATGACCTGTCTTTGTAATGCTCATTTGTGCTTTATAGTTATCTGTTTACAATAATGTCTTATCACTGATTTCATCATTGCTTAGTTAATCTTAAGTTAATTTTAAGCCAGCCCGTAATGCTATGCATATAAGTGGCTTTGGCATGCTGCTCTTACCTGTATTTTTTTGTACCTCTGTATGTATGCTCAAATTACTAAATTACTAAGGTAAAATTACGTTAGCTAAAAAAAAAAAAAAAAAAAAAAAAAAAAAAAAAAAAAAATAATTTCCCCTCCTTTTCTGTACCAAACGTATACAAATCAAATCTGTATGCCTATAACAATTCGAACTATACCATAAATTCATTAGAAACTTCCTTACCTGCCCATTCGCCGGTCTTCTTAACATCAATATTTAACCTAATTGCCGCCGCCAGGAAGGACCCGAATACTCCCTTCAGGAGAGACCATCCTATCCTCGCTATGAACAACGCTACAGCCACTTTTCCAATAAATTCCCACATCTCCATCGTGCAACGATACTCAGCCTTTGGAGAGTGAATCACAAATTTTAGGCCAACGGACGCTAGATCATTTCTGTTACAAGGTGAAAGCTGCTTTGAGTCACTTTCTCCCCGTGTGGCAGCAACCACCAGCCGGACCCTGACTACCACGCCGCCACACTCACACAGTAATGGAGCACACTAGTTACTTTCCAAGCCAATTCTTCTCTCATAATCCTGTTTTAAAAAAGCAACCTTCATTCAACCAACATTCATATGTCTATTTACTCTAAATGTTTAAAACAAGACAAAGTCATTTTGATTTCTCCATATTGTGTTTCTATGACAGATCTTTACTACAAAAAATAGTTCTGTAATAAAAAATCTGATGAAACAATGTATAAAAACTTGTTTAATCCTAAATGAGTTCTCAAGGTAAACCATAACGATTTTTGCGTCGTAGTCATTCAGGTTAAGTAGTGATAAGCCTGGCTAGCAATTGAATGGGTGACCACAAAGGCACTATTGGATTATATTCTCGTTAGTCAAGTCAAATTTTATTTTCACATGACACATTATTTATATAGAAATGGGTGACACTTGAATACATGTAGAAAGCCCATGGTTATATAAGATTGACTGAATGAGTATATAATGAATGTATAATAATAATAATTGAATATAGTTATTAGTTTAATAGTATGTTTATTTTGCCCCCATACCCCATCGACACCATGCCTAACCCTTCTTGGGTAGGGTAGGTGCCTGAGCCCGAGCCTTTAGCTCATAAGACTGTCATTCCCATTTGCCCCCTTGGGGCGGGGATGGCAGACCAGAGAGGCCTAGCTTGTGGCTAGGCCTGGGGACAGTTGGTCCCAAAGATGAGGAGGTACTTGTATCTCCTCCCATGGGAGACTTCGGTCTCAGAAACTCCCTCAAGAGGGAGCCAAGGCCTGGCCACCACTTGGAAAAGGCCCGGGCCGGGAGAATACCGGCTAATCTTTAATAATAATAATAATAAATAAGCCCCCATACCCATCCTGTGCACGGTAGTCAAAAGATTACAGAGGTACATAATGCGTCCAGGGACTGGGCCCCAAAGTTTTGATAGCTAAGCAAGTTACAAAGGTAATGAACTCCAAGTATATCTGGTCACAGTCATGACAAGTTACAAAAGTATTTACAGATTTTAGAGGTACATAATGGGTCCAGGGACTAGGCCCCCAAAGTTTTGATAGAACAGAGGGGATGTGGCATGCAAAGAGTACGTAATCTTTATTCGGCGCATGTACACACCCTCATTTACAGGCTATCTCCCCCAACCAGCGAACCAGGTTGCTAAGAGTTGATGATGGGGCCCCGTCGTTCAACTAGTGACCAGGTTCTAGCCAATAAGATGGTTTTGGCAATCGCAGAGGTTATGTGGGTACCGCTCTCCTGTCTGCCCGTGTCATTCCCATTCTAGAGCTGGTTGAAGCACGGTCTGCTATCTTGTGGCTTCTATTTCTGCTTTGCTTACCGTGGAGTGCACTATACTTATCACTGTACATAGTGTACATATTGTTGTTCTAAATTGGTGAAGGATAATATAAGTCTAAACTTTTTCTGCTGTGTTTATTTTGCTCCCATTACACCCGGGATAACAGGCCATTTGGAGTCCTGGGTTGTAATAGGGGAACACCAATAAGGGATATATAACAAGAAGTGCTGGATGAAATACAACTGAGGAGGAGGTGAAGAAGCTGCTAAGTGACTTCGATACCTCAAAGGTGGTGAGACCAGACATCTCTCTGTGGGTCCTTAAGGAGGGAGCAGAGACGCTGTGTGTGCCACTAACCTCAATTTTCAACACATTCCTTGAAACTGGGCAACTACCTGTGGTATGGAAGACAGCAAATGTAGTCCCCATTTTTAAGAAAGGAGACAAAAACGAGGCACTAAACTGTAGATCAGTATCACTGACGTGTATAGTATGCAAAGTCATTGAGAAGATTATTGGGAGGAGAGTGGTGGAGCACCTGGAACAGAACAAGATTATAAACAAAAAAAATGCACGGATTCATGGAAGGCAAATCCTGTCACAAACCTACTGGAATTTTATGACAAGGTAACAGAAGTAAGACACGATAGAGAGGAGTGGGTTGATTGCATTTTCTTGGACTGCAAGAAGGCCTTCGACACAGTTCCTCATAAGAGATCAGTGCAGAAGCTAGAGGATCAGGCACATGTAACAGGAAGGGCACTGCAATGGATCAGAGAATACCTGACAGGGAGGCAACAATGAGTCATGGTGCATGATAAGGTTTCACAGTGGGTGCCTGTGACGAGCGGGGTCCCACAGGGATCAGTCTTAGGACCAGTGCTATTTTTGGTATATGTGAATAACATGATGGAAGGGATAGACTCAGAAGTGTCCCTGTTCGCAGATGTTGTGAAGTTAATAAGGGGAATTAAATCAGATGAGGATCAGGCAGGACTACAAAGAAACCTGGACAGGCTGGACACGTGGTCCAGCAACTGGCTCGTCGAATTTAACCCCTCCAAATGAAAAGTCATGAAGATCGGGGAAGGGCAGAGAACACCACATAGCATAGGCGAGGCGGCCAAAGACTGCAAACCTTACTCAAGGAGAAACATCTTGGGGTGAGTATAATACCGAGCACGTCTCCGGAAACACACATCAACCAGATAACTGCTGGAGCACATGGGCGCCAGACATACCTGAGAATAGCGTTCCGATACCTCAGTAAAGAATCGTTAAAGACTCTGTACAACATGGGAGTCAGGCCCACACTGGAGTATGCAGCACCAGTTTGGAACCCACACCGGGTCAAGCACGTCAAGAAATTGGAGAAAGTGCAAAGGTTTGCAACAAGGCTAGTTCTAGAGCTAAGGGTAATGTCCTACGAAGAAAGGTTTAGGGAAATCGGCCTGACGACACTGGAGGACAGGAGGGTTAGGGAAGACATGATAACGACATACAAAATACTGCTAGGAATAGATAAGGTGGACAGAGACAGCATGTTCCAGAGAGGGGACACAGAAACAAGGGGTCGCAATTGGAAGTTGAAGACTCAGATGAGTCAAAGAAATGTTAGGAAGTATTTCTTCAGTCATAGAGTTATCAGGAAGTGGAATAGTTTGGCAAGTGATGTAGTGGAGGCAGGAATCATACATAGTGTTAAGACGAGGTATGATAAAGCTCATGGAGCAGGGAGAGAGAGGACCCAGAAGCGACCAGTTAAGAGGCGGGGCCAGGAGCCGAGTCTCGACCCCTGCAACCACAATTAGGTGAGTACACACACACACACACACACACACAACACACACACACACACAACACACACACGTAATAATGCTTTATTTACAGTGAGCAAACCCCTCAAGGAAGGTTCCTTGATGTTGGTGAGGGGCTCTTGATTTAGGGAATTGGATCTGTGCTCCAGTTCCCGAATTAAGCCTGAATGCCTTCCACATCCCCCCCATGCGCTGTATAATCCTCCGGGTTTAGCGCTTCCCCTTGATTATAATAATAATAATACAGTGAGCAAAGTCAGGGTATTTTCCAGAATGGTTTGTAATATACCATTGTGGATAAAATACTATGACATTTCTTGAACACTTCTTAGATTTTTAGACTAGATTTTGCCACCGAAGTGGCTAGTTTATTGTGCACCCCATATCCATCCCGTGGACGGTAGCGCAAGAGCATATGGATACACAAAAGGCCCAGGAACTAGGCCCCAAAGGGTTAACAGGAATACATACGGATTTATATCTACATATCTATAGTTCACTTATCTGTTACAAGCAAATTTAGGAAATTTGCTTAGTATATCTGGTATCTTATTTTCATTTATAAGATATCTTGACATGTCGCATATTCCTCAATAAGTGGACAATTAAGCACATAGTGTTCAAGAGAGTGACCATATGCCTGATCACATAATTTACATTTAGTTTGATCATCATCTGTGTGTCTCCCAAACTGCCAGAAGTACTTGTAACCAAGCCTAAGCCTGGCCACTACAACATCAGTCAGTCTGTTCACATTGCAAGTTGCTCCATAAACATACTTATCTACGTTCATGTTATCATAGTGGGTTATAGATCTACTCAGGCTTCTAACTGCATTCCTATAACAATCATTTTCATTATTTACTTCTCTCCTAATATTATTCCTAATGCTAGACACAGTTATACCAAAGTTATATTCTACATTCTCCTTCTGGGTACTCTTCTTGGCTAACATATCAGCTTTATCATGAAGGAGTAATCCAATGTGTGATGGGATCCATAGCAATTGTACATTAATTCCTTTGTCCCTAATTTTTGAGTACCTATACCTGGCTTCTCCAATGAGCATGTTGCTGGAGTCATTATATGAGTCAAGAGCCTTCAATGATGACATAGAATCAGTAATGATGATAAAGTCAAGCTCAGTGTCATAGGTTAGCTTTAGCGCCATTAGGATTGCAAACAATTCAGTTTGCAGTGTAGACGCCCAGTTGATAATTCTTATGCCTAACTCAACAAATTTGAATGTCTCTGAATTCATTAATTTTATCGCACCCCAATATATAATGACGCAGTTAATATAATACCTTTATTTGTACAAGTACATGCACAAGGTCTACAGTCCTAGCTGACATCGATGACACTACTATATAGAAAGCTGTATAGCCCTTGTGGCTTAGCGCTTCTTTTTTTATTATTATAATAATAATACTATATAGAAAGCCGCTTGTTATGCAGAGCATTTCGGAAAAATTAGGTGAATTTTGTCCTAGGAGCCGATCCACACCAGTCGACTAACACCCAGGTACCCATTTTTACTGATGGGTGAACATGGACAACCGGTGTAGGGAACACGCTCGATGTTTTTACTCTTGCCGGGAATCGAACCCTGACCCCTCAGCGTAAGAAGCAAGAATTAGTTTAGTATCAAAATCAAATGAAAATCAAAATCAAAATTTTATTTCTTTTTAAAAGTTACAATGTGTGCTTAAATTTCATAATTTGATTGGTACAAAGAAAGCCACTATCATGCAGAGGCATTTCGGGCAGACTTAACCTAACCCCTTAATTAACCCTAGATTAAGTATGTGTTTTACAATGGTATTAATAAATGACAGATAAAAACAAACAAGCAGACAAATATCTCTTTAAAGGTAGATTATGGATGCAAGTATGTGAGAGT